GCCCCGTGGCCGTGCCGGCCACACTTAGTAGATAATGTTAGCGAGTAGTAATTTTGTATTGTTTATGTAAAGGTCCCGGTCACAAAGTAGGACCTGTTACATAGTAATTCCATCCAACTACCTCAGCATTCGGGCCGATGCGGCGACGTTATTAATAAATCCACACAAATTGTGAAATTCCATCCATCTACCTCACTTCAATAGATTTTATTTAATATTTTATACAATTTATAGATATAATAACTGTTGTTTTATGCATTTTGCAGATTGCATTTATATATACTATATAGAGTATATCGTAGGTAAATATTATGCAAGTCATTAGGTGAACGTTAGTGCTGCCCGTAGATACGTGTTTATTATAATTTGTATAGAGTACGCACTGTATAGCGGAACGTTAGACTGCGTCACGACCGTAGCGGGAACATCACCTCTTGTAACGGAAGCACTCTATTGTAAGTCAAAATATCTTGTATACGAACAAAACACAGAGCTTAAAACGTACTAATACTATTTACACAAGTCGATTTGTGCCGTTTGGATAATATATTACATGATCATTCAAACGACCCGTGCGAGTCGTTTAATATTGTTACGACCATCTTGAGACTGAACGAGTTTTGCGTCTCGGTTACACTTTTAATGGAGGAAATTTGTAAAAGTTCAAATAGATTGTTATATCGCAATACCTATGGCATAATATAACGTTGTATATAAACTGTGGTGATATGTAAAGTACATAATAATGAACAAAAGCAATAAATAAAGTATACCTTGATGTTGCCTTGGAAGTTGTGTAAATATATTGTGGGTAGTTTGTTAAGCGGATTGCGACGCCTCGGCCGCGGTCAGACGAACCTTGTAATAGAAAGCGAGAAAGTTTATTTTGTAGTAATGATGTGGGCTCGTTACTTGTATAACGATTACTGTGATCACAATCTCATATTAGCCTTCGATACTTATACATATTTTTTAGAGTACAATGTTATAGTTATTTAGTATGTGGTAAGAATACATCTTAAGTGAGTCACAAAAATATTTACTTCCCGATTAGAAATCACGTTATTTAAGAACTTAGAGCAATAGGAAGCATTTAATCTTTTATATGAGAATAGTGGTACGTTTTGGAATTTATTGAGTGGCCACACCGCGCTGCGCCGGCTGTCAAATGTGACATTTCCCGACTGTCAAAGTGACAGTTTCCGGCTGGCGCTCGGACTGTGCGGATGTGAGTAGGCGAGAGGTAATATTTTAGCTCGATTTTAAGTGCTACGGGTTGATTGATTTTAATTTCGTTTAGTGTGTTAGTGAGATTTGACAAGTTGAGTCGGATCGGTTTGCGAATGCTTAACCTTGTTGACAGTTAACAGTGTTGCCATAGTGAGTAATTATTTTTGACTGTATATAAATAAGTTTTAATTGTTTAGAGGACGGTGTGCTTAATCAGCGATTTCGTTGTGGATTGTTTTATTTAGATTAAAAGATTGAGCGATTTAACGCGACTACATAATAGGTATCGGTGCACGCTACACTTTACAATAGACAGTTACCAGAATAATATGTTTAAGCAAATAACCATATATTTTTTCAAATACACTTTTGCATGCAAGTTGAATATAATGCGTATGGACACGAGCTACGTCGACGAATTGTTAAGAGGCTATTACATGAATCATAAAGACCGAAATAAAATTTTCTCAAGAAACATAGAATGAAGGAGTATAATATGAGACAATATTTTGATATAACTATTGCAGAACTGTTTGTCCGTAAAACGTGGACGTAGCTCCTGGCCATTGTAATATTGTTGAGAGTACTTAACATATATACCAGTGAAGATATAATTAGGACTTTAAGTCGAATATAAATGATTATGCTCTTTATGTATAAACTACATTTAGTTACCTTATGGACTTTGGAAGTTCCGTATTAGTGTTTTCGTTTTATATTTAGTTGTACTACTTTACCTCATTAGCTGTTCTTGTACTCATTATTGATAATTGTGTTTGTTTAAACGTTCCCCGAGAGACTTCACGTTTACCTTTTACTGTAATGCAACCTAGCCGTTTAACGAGTAGGTTGAAATATTTTTGGTAGAATTAATCATTGAGATGAAGCACAAAAATTATTTTTTGTAAGAGAACAATAGTTAGGTAACTGAAAACTATATCATAAATATGTATACAAAACTACGTCTTTCGAGGGTCGAATGTATATGTTTATTTCTTGAGATTAATATGAGACTATTTACAAGCGATTACTGAAATACATATGTCATTAAATTTAGTTTACTTTGCACCATGTATTTTCGCATTTTTGTAATTATTTTTTGTCATTTATACAGATTACATTCTAAAATAGTGGGCACAAATTTTAACAAACCAGCTTGTAAGCGTGTAGTGTTAGTTGAGTTCAAAAAAAGTTTTGATTTGTTGATTTACTCTAAAATGTTTTGTTTTCTGTACATTAAGTACTGCGTATCTCAAATTATTATAAAATTAAGAACGTAAATAATTTGTTTTATTGTAAACTTTAGTTTACTTAGATTTCTAAGTTTCTCGAATTACCACAGTGGCGCTAGTGTATACGTTTTGAATGTTGCCACTGTACAAAAAGTTATTTAAGTTTGTTTTTTGGACGCAATAATTTGCAACGCAAACGCACTTCTGTTAAGCTATAATTGTTTAAAAATGTTCAAGCCACGCCTTCGCCGTACGTTAGTGTACTAGCTGTATGCTTCAATACATTATAATAAACAAAAATAATAAAGGTAAATTGTTTTGATATTGTCGTTTCAATTATAATCTTACTTCTTACTAATATTATAAATGCGAAAGTTTGAATAGATGAATGTTAGTTTACCGTTTAAACGCTTGAATGGATATCAATAATGGCATAGATGTAGAGCATAGTCTGAGAAAACACTTGGATTACTTTTTGACCGACTTCCCAAAATAAGGAGGTACTCAATTCGTCTGGATGTTTTTTTTTTTAATTTTTTTTTTTATGTGTGTTACGGCATAACTCCGCCGCTAGTGCACCGATTTTGATAATTCATTTTTTATCCGAAAGATAATGCTTGCAGGTGGGTCCCATTTTTTTGTTTGATTTTTGGAGTCAAAGACTACGACGTAGTTAAATAGTTTAGCTCAAAATCGCGCGACGAAATTTCGGGTCATTTTTGCTTTCTTTGCTTACTAGCCTAAACTATAAGACCTACATAAAAATGATGTATGGAAGAATTGTAGCCCTTTAAATTAGCTAAATAAAATTCCGCGACAGCATATATCTATCTATTAAGGTTGTCGCACAATAACCACTTTTATCATAAAAATATCGCTCGAAATCTATACCCCACTTTAA